GCTATTTAAACTGCCGATCGCGAAAGGAAAGGAACGAAACGTGATTGAAACTAACTGTGATGCTGCTCTTTATACGTTGCGCTAACTGTCATCTGTCAGTGGTGGTCCCGCCCCTCTTAAATCGCCAGATAAATCCATCAATATGGGTTTCCCTGGATGGAATTTGTTTGATTTCTTCATGATTTTTACGGTCCTTGGACCCACTTTATACCTGTGGACGAGGGATTAGAGGTAGTTAGCCTATGTCTGGATTAGAGGCTCTAATTCCTCGTTGTGTCCAAGGACTGGCAACCCAAGGCCAAGGCTAAGGACTTGATTCCGAGGCCAAGGACCAAGGACTTGACTCGAGGCCAAGGCCCAAGGACTTGACTCGAGGACCAAGGACCGACCTTCGGTCCTCGAGGCCAAGGACCGGCCCGAGGACCACAACACTGGTGGACACCAATTTCAAAGGGAAACATGCTCAAAATGGATTATTAATGTAAGAATTACTTGAGAAGGCAAGACTGAAATTATGCGGTGTCCACATTTGTGTCAAGTCAATCAAAAATATTTTTGGAACACAAAAAAATGTGAGGAATCCTAATACGCATTTCCATCTGGAGAATCAGGAAAATTACTTTAAGCAAGTTTTGTCAAAAGCTTCCATATAGCTCGGAGAATTCAACTCAACTTTATTTATAGAGCACCTTAAAACAGCCATTGCTACAGATGAAGTGTTGTACATGAAATGAAAATCAGTCAAACAATAACAATGACAATTTAAAAACAACAAACCAATAGCACAGATACATTAGACACACTAAAACACAGAGAAATGCAGACTGTCATGCTGAAAGCCATAGAGTAAAAATGTTGTTTGTCAAACATTTAACAGAATGTCATTCCAAATGGAGGGACTGGCAAAAGAAAAGGCTCAATCCTGAGCCACCACTTAATCCTCAGTACCTCCAGGAGTGTCTGGTCCGCAGACCTGAGGCACTGGACATGTACATAGAGGTGGAGGAGCTGAAAGAGGCAAGGTGGGGCAAGACCATTTAAAAATTTGAAAACAAAAACAAACTTTTTTAATGAACTATAACATGTACAGGGTGCTACCGAATGGAGGCTAGAATTGGATTTATGTGGTCCCACCTACGAACAGCAGTTAGGAAGCAAGCAGCAGCGTTTCGGACCAACTGGACACCCTTCAGGGATGACTGACTGACTCCCAAATAAAGTGCATTACAGTAATCCAGCTGAGACGTAACAAAGGCATAGATTGCTGTTAAGTGCTGTTGGGAAAGGAGAGGCTTTACCTTAGCCAGCTGCCTAAGATGAAAAAAGTTGAATTGAACAACAGCAACAATTTGATGATCCACTTTAAAATCACTCTCCATTTTAAAACCCAAATTCAGGATGCCAGGGGGGCCCAGGTCAACAGAGTAGAATGGGCAAGGGCCACTGTGGCCAAACACCATAACTTATGTTTTCTTGTAATTGAAATTCAAGAAATTCAGAGCCATACAGGACTTGATTTCCTCCAGACAGGACAAAAATGGCCTTAATGAGAAAGTGTCATTTTTGTTCAGCGGGACTTATATCTGATTGTCATCCGCAAAGCAGTGGAAAGAAGAAAGCAATACCAAGTTTTCTTAAAATGGAACCCAGGAGCGGCAAATACAATTAAAACAGCAGTGGCCCCAAAATCGAGCCCTGTGAAACACCATGCGACAGAGGGGCAGAGCGGGATTCAGAGTAACAAAAAATGTTCTCTCTGTCAAGTCGGATTTTGGTGAGGTGTCTATTAGTTGCAAATGAATAATGGCAACTTTTTATTTTAGACATTCATGTGCTGTAGGCACTTTACAACTTCCCATCTTCATTTCTAGAGTGCTTCAAAAAAGGTAGCTGCAGCTCTAACAGTGCTGTATATTTTTACTGTTGGCTATCAATACTGAGAAACATGTGAGCAAAAGTTACTGTACAGTTTTTACATCTCTTCCATTTTGTTTGGCAGTAAATGTAGCTCATAACATATGGGTTGTTGCCAATGGTGTTTTAATATTAGTCATCACACGATTGGAACTAAAAAGTAATGTGCGTCAAACATAGTTACAGTGACCCCTGCCGCAAATATAAAACAACGTAATAACGTTTATAATTGCTTTTAGTTATAATTTAAACTGCAAGTGTACACAAACTATGATCCCAACAAGTTCAGTGTCATTTCAAACTTGTCTTACTTGTCTTCTCTCCAAATCTAGCTCTTCTTTGACTTACAAACCTTGCCTCTCTGTCCAGATTTGTCACTTCAACATAGTTCCTTGGCATTTAGATGCCAAATCCCTGTCTAATACATAAGTGCTACATTTACTACAATAAATAGATTGATTTGTTTGTCAAATATTCGGAATTGGATAAATTCACGCTAAGCACACTAAATTCATGAGACTGCTAATCTTTTTTTTTTGCCATATAACTATCATGAATAAGGCTTTGTTGCCTTTTTTTTTTTTTTTTTTTTTTTTTACCAGGTCCACCATTCTTTTAGACAGCAAGTCTCTGCTGCGGGGTCGGGCAGTGTCTGACCAGGCCATCGCAGAGGCGCTCTTGTCCACGATGCTGCTGGAGGACAGCTCCCCACGCCAGGCACTTGCTGATTTCTTGTTAGCACGGAAGGCCTCCATCCATCAGTTGCTCAATCAGCCCCAACATGGTAATATATAATCTAACTGTCTGTTTTCCCCATTACTATGGTTAAATCTTAAGGGTGCAACAATATCAAACTCTCACAATACGACATCTTCACGGTATACAGCAGGGGTAGGGAACTCTGGTTCCTCGAGAGCCATATCCTGTCTGTTTTAGGTCCCTCCCTACTCCAACACACTTGATTCGATTGTTCAGGCCTTGACAAAGCTTGCTGATGAGCTGATCATTTGAATCAGGTGTGTTGGAGTAGGGAGGGACCTAAAACAGGCAGGATATGGCTCTCCAGGAACCGGAGTTCCCTACCCCTGGTATACAGGGTTAGTTTAGCTGGTTAAAGGGTTAGTAAAAAAAATAAAATAAAATAAAATAAAAATTAACATTGGGTGTCGGGGAGTGGGTGACATAATGTGGAAAATTAAGTGCCAGGATTGTCAAAGACAAAAATACATAGTATAATTGAGCACAAAATAAATTGCGCTGAAATGTTGTAATCATATTTTGCTACCAAGTTGGTAGTGCTAACAGGCATTTTCAAATGCAAAGAACGGTGCAGAAACACGAAGGACTGGACGATTAATCAAAATTAAATCAGGATTTCGAGTTTGGCTTCTCACGATCACAAAAACATTCAACTGTAATCAAAGAGAAACAAAACCGGTATTATGACGCATGATGCAGTGTGTATGGAAGTTCCTATGGTGTAAAAGCACCCTGATTGTACCTTGCCGCTTGCAGTAGCAAGCCTGAGACATATAGTAGACTACATTCCCTGAGTGTGCTTTAGATGGCTTATTGACACTCTAGTTGCCATTTACCGTTTAAAACTGAACACACAACAAAAATGAATTGATACATTGTATATTGAAGTGCTTTGTAAAACACAAACTTTGGTTAACTTTGTTCCCGAAAATCGTTAGCTTATCGCAAAAAACACAATGTACAGTACTGTAAAACCCTACTGATGTGCTGGCAAGAATTAGCACTAGATCTCAACAAATGTTCACACACAAATGCTGTAGTAACCGATGCAGACGGGTAATATAACAACACGGCATGTATTCTTTCTACTCTGTGAAACATTTTTATATTAATAGTTATCATATGACATCCTATAGCATGAAGAATTTTGAAACCCTTTGAGACTGTTTGTGATTAAGGGCTATATAAATAAATGTTACTTGACTTGAAGCCACATATCACAATACATACTTACTGGTTATAGTTAGATGTAAATCATCAAGAAATGACCAAATCAAAAGATTAACTACTTAATTTTAAGTTCACCCACACCTCCATTTTCATATGTCAGTATTAAGGAGGTACAAGACTTTCTCAAAGGTGACATCAGTGGTTCATCATTACAACTCCGTCATGGTGGCACATTTAAAAGAATCGAGATGCTCCTGAAATATGGCAGCATGAAAATAACTTTGGTTTGCGGTCGACACATTGTGGATCTCGGAGCATTGCAATTAAAAGACTTGCCATTCATCCTTTGGATAAGCTTCAAAATATGTTTATTTATCTTTTTATGTCAGGTGCGGGGATTAAAGCTCAAGTGTGCAGCCTAGTGGAACTGCTGGTGACCACGTTGTTTCAAGCGTATGCTGTTTTCTACATGCACCCTGAGGGGGCCCCCAGACCTGGAGAAACAACCCTTAGCTGTGGCCTGCTCTTTTCCATCCTGGAAAATGTTACCTCCTCTGCATCTGCAGGTACTAAATATCGCTGAGGTCCTGAAGCCTTGATGATAAGTAAAGTCCTGTATCATATATTGTCACTATGCAATGAAAATTTACAGTCTACAGTGGTACCTCTACTTACGAACGTCTCTTCATACGAAATGTTCACGTTACGAAACACCTCAACAGGAATATATTGCCTCTTGTTATGAAATAAATTTCAAGATATGTAAGGTAAAAATACAGTATGGGCTGCTAATCGCAGCTGTGAGTTTCTTAAACGCAACATACTGAAGCTGCTCTGCCATTGGCTATTACCTAGCATCTTCTTGGCGTCCCATTGGCTAAGAGTGACTTAAAAGTTAAATGACCATAATTTTTTTTCATTAATCTCTTCTTTGTTTTTTACTTGACAAACAACTCTCATTTATTGTGCAATAATCTAATTGTAACATGTATTTTTGGCTGTTGAGATGCATTTTTATGCTTTAGAAAACATGTATGTCTGAATTTTTGGGGCCGCTTGGAACGGATTAGGGCATTTACATGGAAAACGCGTCTCTACTTACAAAATTTTCTAGTTAAGTCTACCTTTGCAAACATTTGCTAATGTTCAGCCACATTAAGTGCACTTCAATTTAAAATGAGGAGGTGAGACGGATAACAGCTCATCCATGAAGCATAATTGCTCTGTTGGCCACAAATTTATTCGGGTGTTGCTTTTTGATAAATGCCTTGACAGCTGAGATGGTTCACCTAACGAAACATGTACGTCACTAGCGGCAACTTTTCCACAAAAAAATTGTGTGTAATTTGAAATGTTCACAAGAAGGTTCGTTTATGACTCTTTGTCCTGGCCAGTGTTCGGTGTTCAAATGAGTTGAAACCTGTTTCTTGAATTTGTGCTGTCCATATTAAAATATTTGAAATACCGTAATCAAGCAATAGTGCACACAAAAAAAAAAAAAAAATCTAAAATCTTGGGAGGCAATGATGTAGCAATCCATCCTGTAAAAAAAAAAAAAAAAAAAGAAACCCACTTATGAAGGCGCCATCAATTAGCGACCGCCATCACGGTAATATTATTAATGTCATTTGCCTTCAAATGCAGCTGCTGAATGTTGAAACCCCAAATTGGGACACAGCTACAATCCCGCCCCTCAATTCTGTCTCTCTCTCTCCTTAGCGAAAGCTAAGAATGTGCTTCAGGAAGACACAAGTACAGGAAGCTGGTTCAAGTATCTGCCCCCTTCTGTCACGGAGTTCCAGCCGACACTTCGAGCCCTGGCACAGCCAATCCAAAGAGAGCACCTACGGGACACCTTACAGCAGTGGATTGAAACGTATGCATCAGTCGGTCAAGTGCACAACAAAACACAAGCAATAAGAAATCCTGAGATCGGGAATACGCTTCTCAACATAAATCCCTACATCCCCAACGGATTAATTCGAAAACCTTTCCCTTGTCTTTCTTTTTGTATATGTACTTCAAAATACTAATGTGGGTAATGGATTGCTAATGTCATTTGTGCTTGAAATTTGATCTCTAACAAATGTAATGTTTTCTAAAGGCTGCACTTTAAGATTCATTATTCAAGAGAATATTCATTTATGTTGAACAAAACAATTCAATGTGATGCCAGCTAACTGCAACACGCGTTTACTTGTGATGTCTTGCTGTAAAATCTCGCCTTCCCCAGGGACTAAAAAGCCCCTGACCACTTCTCCATTTCAAAGGGTTAGAACCTCCTGTTTCCTTACTTCAGGGGTCGGCAACCCAAAATGTTGAGCCACATTGGACCAAAAAAACAAATATGTCTGGAGCCGCAAAAAATTAAAAGCCTTTTACAAGCCTTATAATGAAGGCAACACATGCTGTATGATCTATATTAGCTATATTTGGCTACTATCAAAATGACTGAGTTGGCTTCAAATACACAATGAGCCTTCACGATGAAATGTTTTTTTCCTTGCAATGCATCCTGTAGAGCAGGGGTGCCCAACCTTTTTTGACGGAAGATCTACTTTTCGATCAACCAATCTCTCGCATGCGATTATGAGCAACAGCCATAACGGCCGCTAAGATGAACGAGGCATGGGAGGCACTTTTGCAGTGTGTTAACTATCGTACCTCATGTGTACCGTTTAAAATGCTTCTCTCAGCCATGCACATTCCCACTATTTGCCAGTACCCTCGGTGAATTGTACATGAAATGCTGTTTTTTTCACAACATCCACCAGCCTGGCATCCCATCCTGCTAATAGAAACGTGTGTCGCAGGATATGACGCAAATCCTTGTTAACAGAAAAGTTGATATTTAATATTTATTTTACACATTTTTAAAGCATTGGAAAATGTTAAAAATGTTTGTGTCATGTTTGTCCACATACAGAAACCATATTAATAAATTTTTTTATTAATTTTTTTTAAAATTAAAAATATATTTCCCTCCCCCATCTTTTTCCATTTTCAAATATTTTGGAAAAAGCTCCAGGGAGCCACTAGGGCGGCGCTAAGAAGCCGCATGCGGCTCTGGAACCTCGGGTTGCCGACCCCCACCCTACTCCATAGTAATGTGAAAATTGGCAGAGGACAAAAATTCTTTAAGCTGGTAACAAAAGAAGACACGTGCAGGTTCAGAATGCCTTATTTCATGAGCGCCAGTCCGTATCTTGAATCAGTTAATTTCCGTATTGAACAACCTTAGCAGAAATAAGAAATAAATCTGATCACGCCCTTTTCACAGCAACTCCTCCTTCTAAATGATTTGTTGCAATTGTAAGGACCTAGATATATTTAGATATTATTGATATGATCGCAAGGACTCGTTTCACGTGAATTTAGAGCCAACGTAATTTATCGGATTCTATCTGGCGAGTCGGATCAAGTGGGATTTACTGTCACATGATTGAAAATCCATGAGGGAAGTCTTTAATAAAAATGACAATAGTGTAAAGAGAGATGAAACATATTTAATAAGCTAAGAAGCAAGACAGCAAAGTGGAAAAGAAGTTGATAACAACATGGTAAAAAGTAAAATAAATGACAATAAAAGAATAGATATAACTGGACTAAATGAATTCTACCCACACGCAGCTTGGGTAGAAATGCTTCAAAATTAGCAATGCAGTTAAAATTTTTAAACATTTTCAATTGCTTTTTCCATAACCATGGAAAAGATTTATTCAGCCAATCATCATAATCAACCAAGCGAGGTTCTATTCCTGGGTACAGGAGAGAGTAAACCCTCTGTATAGTCGCTGTTACGAGAAGATGGTAATGCCTCTGGTATATCCTTCTGATATTCCACTAACAAAGGTTGAAGCGCTCCGCCTCGCTTCAACACTCGGAGACATTCATCCCTTTTCTGTGTTAAGTAAATTCGGTACTGCATAGTCATTTTATGATCGCTTTGGAAAACCTAAAGGCTTTGCAAAAAAGTCTGTACCGCTTACTTTCAGATGTAAGGAGGACATCTGCCATGGTGTTGGTAGCCTTCTGGTCTTTGTGAAGAACTTGAAGGGATTGGCTGCCATTCGAGATGCTATCTGGGACCTCCTCTCTGCCGACTCCATCAATCAGCACTGGGACACAGTGTGCCAGCGGCTGCTGGAGCGCCGCCTGCCCATATGGGATGACTTCCTTCAACAGCTCTTTCTTCAGCGCTTACAGGTTAGCATTCGTTAGCATTCGTAAAAAACAAATGTATACTGTCTTGATTTCATTCGATGTATTTGTGATCCACAAGGCGATCACCAAAGAAGAAACTGAAGGCATCTCACTGAGCTCCGTGCAGCTCCTCACCTCTGCTGTCAAGGATCTGGAAGGACAAACCGCCAATAGCCGGGAGGCCCAGTATGAAATCGACGTGTCGTCCTATTTGTGGTCAGAGTCTCCAGGGGACCTGCCGAATGATGCGGGTTGGGTTGGTGTGGCGCAGAGGGGGGAGCAACAGCTAAAAAGTGGTCTGGCCATGAAAACGCAGGCCCTGACGCCCTGCGTTCAAAATTTTTGCTCTTCCCTGGACGCCAAGCTGAAAGCACGGCTTGATGACCTCCAGCACTACCTTCCATCCAAGTATGCAGGTTGGCGTGGCTGAAAATCAGTCTTTGTATTTATTTATTTATTTTTGAGCCAATTGTCATTTTCATATTTTATACACAGTCTCACAAGGAGAAATTCAATTTATAATAAGATAACCTTTATTTGTCCCACACTGGGGAAATTTGCAGTCTACAGCAGCAAAATTGGGGGGAGGAGGAAAAAAAACAAAGTGTTTCATTGCACAAAATAAATGTTTCAGAAAAGAACTGTACACAGTTCAATATAAGTGCAATATAAAATATAGCATTAGCAATATATTTGTAGAATAAATATAATAAATGAGCAATAGCATAGTATTTGTGTTACACCCCACACAGAGGGTGGGCCTCACATACTGCGTACAATCACATGGTTACTGCCCACTGATGCAGGGAAAGCACGTAATTCATGAAATTGGGATAGACAGGAAATATCTCGGCCCCTCAGATGGGGCTAACTCAATAACATTACTGGTGCTATGATAGTGTACTAATTCAGACTGCACTTATTTATTAACATCCACCATTTTCTTGGGGAAAAAAAAACGCAGTTGGAGTTACACTTGTATGCTGTGGGTGTTTTATTTCAAATACAGTAACATTAAATCTGATCCTGTTTACACAGAACATGAGCAATTTGGGGCTTTTTGATAAAAAGGGAACGTGACAATTGTAGTGTTACTTTACACACATCACCCACTACAATCAATCGTGATGCTGAAATCTTTTAAATAGATGAAAAAAAACGTCTTTTTTTTCGACAGGCGCTGACTCCATATCAGTTACACTACCGGCATCAGGTCCCGAGGGCTCGTCAGCATCCTCCTTCAACCGCTTCACAGACACGCCAGCGGTGGAGGAGGCTTTACGAGATGGCTGCCTGGCCTGCATTCACCACATTCTCTCCGCTGTCCGTTCCGAATTAGCGACCGTTTCGCCAGATCCCAGCCCAGCCAGCCTGAATTCAGTTCTTTTCATGGCGAGGCTGTGTCAATCCATTGGGGAACTGTGTCCCAATCTCAAACACTGCATTTTGGGACAACAGAAGGGGTGCGAGGCCGCAGCTAAAGTGACACCGAGGCAGAGTAAGAAATTGGGCAGAGCGAAGGTGGCCCCGCAGTTCAGCGCTGCTCAGGCCAAGTGGGCGGAACTAAAGGAGGAGCTTCTCAACTGCAGCATGGAGGCCTACCGTATCTGGATCTCTACTCTCTCAAAAGTCAGTCCATATCTAAAATTGTCTTTTCTAGATATTTTTCGGATATCTACCTGTAAGTCCGTAAATATGCCTAACCGTGAGAAAACCAATACTCGTGTATTCGTTCTTGGTATGTTGTTTGTCATTTGACTGATTTTGTGAACAGCCTACCCCAAATTAAATTGCTTCGCGGTGCTGACGTTTAAAAGGCAACAGCCTGGTACTTTTGGGCTGACAAAAAGTGTAAAGATGGGCAGCATTGAACAGATTTGACATTGGGATTTGAATGGTGTCCTCTGACTTTTCAGAGGTTGCTCGAGCAGTTTCGAACAGCTCTTCACGCAGATTCCGCCGGTGCCATCTTGACATATGCTACAAACTGGGAAGATCTCGAAATCCAAGAGGAGGCTGAATCAGGAAGCAGTGTTACATCTAAAATTCGTCTTCCTGTCCAGGTCGGCCATTCGGCTTCACCCTTCATGAATTTGAGAGCATTGAAAATATTTCATGTTAGTTGATATTCTCACGGGAAGTTTACACCTTCCACAGCCATCTTTGTTCGTCCAGTCGCTACTCTTCGACCTGTGTGTGGAGGTTAACCGGGTGGGTGGTCATGCACTGCCACAACCCACCCTGCAGGAGCTTCTGCAAGCCTGCTTGGATCAAGCCTTGCAGCACTATCAAAGCCTCACACAGCGAGTACCCCGGGTAACTCACCAAAGCAACTCACTCCCACTAAGTTCTCAAAATGATGACACTGGATTTGGAAACTTTAAGTCACTCACGATAAAGTGGGCGTCTGCTTTCAGGAAGGTGCATTTCCAATGACTCAAAACAGAGCATTGCAGCTGATGTTTGACCTTCGTTATCTTAACACCACTTTGTCTGCAAATGTGGAAGAAGGCAAGACTTCCAAATCCTGTCAAGATCACAGGTAACAAGAGTAGAGTCGGTGTCAAAGGAAACATCCATATCAAGATTAATTGCAGTGTGCACACAATAAAGTACTGGAACACATGTTTTAAAAAGCCGAAAGGGACACTGACAAGTAATTTAACATTCCTGGGTTCAAGTGGGAGCGGAACTGGGAGGATTGAGTAGTTTTTACTTAGACTCACCTTGGAACTCACTCGAGTAGTTTGGATTTTTTGTTTAAACTGGACACTCAATTTGGATATTTCTGTCACACCAAGCATTTAGCACAGCGGGGGATACAAAGACGTGATCTACAATTGTTACGGCAATTGGCCGGTTGGGTCCAAAACTCTACCTTTCAACAAATTCATTAATTCTTTTGACTACACATTTGCACACTAGGGCTGATATATCATTAGCCTATTGAAATTCAGATATGAACATTGGCTTGTGCAGGGTTTAATTCCAGCTCTGGCCTGCCTCTGTGGAGTTTGCATATTCTCCCCGGGTCTGAGTGGGTTTTCTCCGGGTACTCCAATTTCCTCCCCCATTCCAAAATCATGCTTGGCACGTTAATGGAACGTTGCATACTAGGGCTATATCATTATCCTATTGAAATTCAGATATGAAGATTGGCTTGTGCAGGGTTCAATTCCGGCTCTGGCCTGCCTGTGTGGAGTTTGCGTATTCTCCCCGAGTCTGAGTGGGTTTTCTCCGGGTACTCCAATTTCCTCCCCCATTCCAAAATCATGCTTGGCACGTTAATGGAACACTCTAAATTGTCCTGAGGTGTGAGTGTGAGCATGAATGGTTATTTGATTATGTGTGCCCTGTGATTGCCTGGCAACTAGTTCACGGTGTATTCCGCCTACTTCCCGAAGACAACTGGGATAGGCTCCAGCACACCCACGACCCTTGTGAGAATAAGCGGATCAGATAATAGATGGATGGAAAGAAGACAGTATTATGCACCTTGGTTGATGCTGATTGGTTAATCCTGTAAGAGCCAGAGGCAGTAGTAGAATTTCATCACTCCAAGAGGATCTAAAACCCGTGATGTCTTTCAGGATGCAGGAAGTCTGTGATTGGCTGGAGAGCCACATTGACCCTTTTGACCTGGATGTGTTCACACCGCCGCTGAATGCAAACCTCAGTCGTCTGTCCCAAAAAACATCGGTAATCTACTTAAAACTTTTATCAATAAAAAAGGGTGGACTTAATGTGATTTGTGTCATTATTTTCTGTACAGGTGCTGTTTGGACTGGTGACTGGCTCAGAGAAGCAGTATGCCCCGCGGAGCAGCAGCGTCAACACTCAGGAGCCTTACAACATCCTTCCGCTGGCCAACACTCAAATCAGGTCTGAGTCACGTGAACCTTCGACAGTACACTGAGTGTCAGTTTAAAAATAGAGTCCTTAAAGAGTGCTGACAAAAAATATCTGCTGACAGAGTGAAATGTAAATGATAATCAAATTTAATATTAAACCTAATTTGATTCCACGAGGCAGTTCAAAGCACCTACAACAAAGACTGAGTCACAAGAAGTTTGTCTGTCGAATAAAACAAAGAACTACAGTGTGACAAGGATGTAGAACACTGTATCTCACTGAGGATCCTCCGATTGCAAATTCTTATGTAAAATGCGAGAGAGCATGAACAAGGTCACTGGGGTCAAATGTTATGTCAGTGTTTTTTTACATATGGGTGTTCAATATTTTCATTCGTACCACGAGGTATATCGAAAGAAAGTAAAATATCATCAAACAGTTCAATATTTTTGTCAAGTCATGCAGAAAGTGAAGGTGCTATTTTATATTGATTGATTAGAACTACAACTATAGAGTTAAGCTTTTATTTCTTTTAAATTTTGATGATCCTGGCTTAAAGATAATGAAAGCCTAAAATTCAGTTTTTGGGGTCGGGGGGGAGAAAATCTTATAAAACCAATTGAAACAAAAAGGATATTTTTACAGCATGAACAAGGTCACTGGGGTCAAATGTTATGTCAGTGTTTTTTTACATGTGGGTGTTCAATATTTTCATTCGTACCATGAGGTATATCGAAAGGAAGTAAAATATCATGAAACTGCTCAATATTTTTGTCAAGTCATACAGAAAGTGAAGGTGCTATTTTATATTGATTGATTAGAACTACAACTATAGAGTTAAGCTTTTATTTCTTTTAAATTTTGATGATCCTGGCTTAAAGATAATGAAAGCCTAAAATTCAGAGTTTCTGGGGGGGGGGGAAATCTTATAAGACCAATTGAAACAAAAAGGATATTTTTACAACTACTGAAAAATATGCTCCTGTCTTTGTACTCAATACTGAGTTGGGCTTCCTTTTGCATGAATTACTGCATCAATGCTGGCTAGGAGATGATTAGTTTATGGCACTGCCGAAATAATGGAAGCCCGAAGCCCGGTTTGCTTTGATAGCTGGTGATCTTTGTTTGGTCTGGTGCTCATCTTCCTCTTGCAACAGCCCATTGTTGCTTTTCTATGGGGTTCGATTCATTGAGCCTTAGAAACTTGGAAAGACTGGACTTGAAGCAATGTGGATTCTGTGCCTCTCTATTCATCCTCCAGAGATCTTGATTTCCGAATTATATTCAAAATTGACTTTCATTCTAAAAGAGGACTTTGGACCAATGGGCAACAGTCCAGTCTTTTTTTATCCTGAGCCCAGGTGAGACGCTTCCAACATTGTCTCTGGTTCAGAAGTGGCTTGACACGAGGAATGTGACATTTTTAGCTCATGTCGAGTATTCGTCTCTGTGTGGTGGCTGTGGACGCACAGACTCCAGCCTCAGTCCACTCTCTGTGATTCTCCCCCAAATTCTTAAATGGATTTCACTTGACAATTCCCTCAAGATTGCTGGTGTACTTTTTCCTACCACTCTTTTCCCTTCCACAAAATGTTCTGCTAATGGGTCACGCTGCAAATGTGCAGCTGAGGGTGCCGGGCCACTCATGTGACAGGTAAGTCGATTTTTGGCAATAAAGAAAGTTGTATTCAATTCAATTCAATTTTGTGCGTCACTTCGTGTCAGGACAGTCAACACTTGAATGAAGGGACTCTGGTGGACACTGTTAGCACTCTGCACGCTTGTGAACAGCCAGTTTCTTTAGTCATGACATTTTGTGGATTATCTTGTGAAGATTATCGCAATATTCCAATTTTTTGCGACACAGAATTTTATTTTTCACCATGGTGATCAAAACAGCAAGAAACAAAAACTGTGTTCCACTTGCGACTTTGCGGTTCGGTTATTGCGGATTCACTCAGTCAAGGATTTTCATTTGTGACCATAACTTAATGTATTGCAGTTTCACCTCGCTATTTGAAGACTCAGACAGTTGTTCAAATGAGCCGTTCAGTTATTCCGAATGCCCCCCCCAAAAAAGGGATCCCAGTGCAGGCACTATACAAGGAATGTAAAAAGCTGTCTTCATAGAATAAAAATCCCACCCAGAATAAAATAAAATTCACATTCAAAAAAAAAAAAGGGCATCCTCTACATTACAGAAATTTGCCTTTTATGGAACATATCACCTACAAAAAGTAAAGGAACACTATTTCAATCTATGTGTGATGAAATAATTCGATGAATTTAACTTAAAGAAATTACTGACAAAAACTCGAACTTTTTCATGATACTGTTTTTTTATTTTTATTTTTTTTATGCACATGTCATTAAAATGTGACACTGTACCCAATCTCCCAACGATTTTGTCCTCCATAGGTTCGAGTTGCTGCCTCTCAGCATGTCTGACACGCATAAATCAAAGTCGACCAGCAAATGCTCCAGTGAACCGCACCAGTTGGTGAGGAACAGCTCTGCTCTTCGTTAGTTAGGACTGAAGTCACTGTGGAAGATTCTCAGTTATGGTTTGGTTTCATTGTTGTGTTTAATCCCATTAAAATGTGGTCTGTTCAACTTTCCCAGACATTTTGAGTGCGAGACAGCCAGGCAAGTCCATCAGTGTGGCTTTAAATCTGCGTGTTTTGGGGTTTGCTTGTTTTGTGTTTATCAAGGGGCTGTTTTTCTTTTGGTGCGTTTGCAGAGTTTGATCATGTAATGAATTCAAAACTGATTGTAATTGGATGAACGGAAACTTGAGAATGCTGTTATGCTTTGTTATTATTATTCTTTTCATGCCCGTAAAGTAGCCTCGTGTAATGGCAAAAACCTAAGCCGAGGCTATCAGAATATGCAGTCGGCCATAATCAACTTCTGGTTTTCAAAAAACATTGTACCAAATGATTACATCCAATCCAAAAGAACATAGTGGGCCGTTAATTGGTGTCGCTATGTTCACAGGTGATGCTCATGGAATCCATTGTGTGATTATACAGTATGAGCTATTGTTGTTGTTGCATTTTTGTAGCTATACAATACAAATACTTCAAGTTGAGTGCAGTTATGAGGGTTATTCAATAAAGAAGGTGATTTTTTTCCGGGAAAAGGACTTCTAAGACAGACAGAAGCTTACGTAATCTCCCAGCACTGTCACTTTCAAACTTCGTGCCTCTCGTGAACGCTTTTAAGGGACCAAACGGGTGAAAGTCTGAAGAGCAAGGTCTGGGCTGGAAAGGGGGGGATGTGGGAACAGTTCCCAGCCCAGATCCTTGATGGTCTGCACCTTTTAGCCTGCTGTGTGAGGCCTTGTGTTGTCATGATGCAAGATGACTCCCGGATTTGTTCTACATGTCTTTGTTCTTCGTGCCTCAGCAGTTCACAGTAGTTGGCACGAAGTTTGAAAGTGACGATGAAGTCAAAAGTGTTGCGAGCGACTGGCCGAGACATCAGTCCAAAGATTTTCACGCTGAGGGAAAATGGAAGCTTGTGCACAGGTAGGAAGTGTGTGACAGTGTTGGGAGACTACGTTGGAAGAAAAGAAAAGTAAACTTCTATCTGTATTAGAAATCCTTATCCCAAAAGATAAAAATGACCCTTGTATGATGTGTTTTGCAACAGCAAAGGTGCTCAGTGGGCTGCCATTAGAATGAGAAAAGCAGTACTTCCCCAGAAAGGGAATTGTTTGTAACCTGTACTAAATCACAGCAATTATGGTTCGACTGGATTTTGTTCAGTTTTCTGTCCATTTTGCTCCCTCTTGCAGCCTATTGCATCCTCGTCAGCCGACATTCAGGAAAGCTTCCGGCCAGGCAGCCTTTTCCGACAGATGGCAGAAGACGAGGACGCCACCTCTCAATCTTTATTTAAACTCAGTTGGCTATCAGGCATGACAAAATAACGTCGCACTACACAAAACTTGTATTCTCAGAATCTGCATCATCTTTACTGGCCAATTGGGGGTGCGTTCGGAAATTCGCTCTGACAGCCTGACACCACTTAAAGGGTGTTTGTGGTGCCGAGGCAGAGTGCTCTCCCCTCCTAATAATTTCTGAAAGCAGCCTGTTATAAACCAATCCATTTTCCAACTGGACCATCTAACGCATTGCACGCACCGGGTCCCCAGTTATCGCGTGCTGCATGACTCATTTTTTGAGGCACTCTGAATAACCCAAATGGCACATTTGAACAGGACTCTGAATGTCAGAGCGGTCAGAGTGAAGCAGTGCGCTCAGAGCATCTTATCGATCACCCTTTGTCAGAAAAAAAGCAATGAATTTATCTCTGATAGTTTGAGCCACATTTAATGTTGCACCCATAAAACATGAATGCCAAATGTGTATTATTAAGGCTAATTAACTTTTTTTTTTTCCTCTTCCCCCCTCAATGCTACACCTACAATCAGGGTTCTCCAAGTCCGGTCCTGTTGAGACCCTGTCTAGCCTCACGAGGACTGGACTTGGAGATCTTTGCCTAAAACTAATAATCCTGCAAATCTAAGAACGCACCGTCATAGCTAGTGCTTTTTTTTATACAGCTAAAATTGTGTATTTTTAATGGAATATGATTGAGTATAATATGAATATAAATTTGACTGCTGGAAAATTCTGGCCATCACAACACCTGATGCAACCTCAAACATGTTGCCTTCAACACAAATATTGAGCAGAAGGCCATTTCCTACCACATATTTTAATTTAAAATGTTTTTTATTTCTTATGGAGTGTTCTAATTTCTAGAGGTGGTGAACTTGTTAACTTTAAGCTATAATAATCAAGATTCTATTAAAAGAAAACTCAATAAAATCATGGAATTGCACTTTGTGTGGAGTGTATTTTCATAATATGTGTTTCACAATTTCCACTGAACTGAAATAGGTTTCCACAAGATGCAAAATTATTAATTGTGTACAGTGGAAGGTTGAAAAGCCAGGTTTTTGTACATTGCACTCAAGGATGTAGCACCGAATTATATTACCGGTAACTGGCATTGGTTTTCTGAAGTGTTCCTGAACCGATGCGGCATCTTTGACACATTGATGTCGGTTTTTGATGCAGCGCTGTCTGAGGGATCAGATGTCATGGGCATGGGTTGCTTTTCAGCCTTGCTTCTTCCATGCAGTGATTTTTTTCAAATTTTCGGAACCTCTTGATGATATTCTGAAATGCCTGAATTCCTTGCAATTGTATGTTGAGGAATAAAACTGTTCAATGATTTTCTCAGACAGTTCACGAAGAGGTGAACCTCACCCCATCTTTGCTTGTGAATGGCTGAGCAATTCAGCAAAGCTCCTTTCATACCCAATCATGGCACCCAACTGTTCCCAGTTATCCTGTTCACCTGTGGGATGTTCTAAACGGGTGTTTGATGATCATTTCTCAACTTTTTTTAGCCACGTATCGCAGCATTTTTGGAACATGTTGCAGCCATAAAATTCTAAGTTAATGTATATTTGTTCAAATGAATAAAGTCTATCAGTTGTAACATTAAGTATCTTGTCTTGTATTCAAGTCAATATAGGTTGAACATAATTTGCAAATCATTGTATTCTGTTTTTATGTTTAACACAACGTCTTGGAATTTGGTTTGAACTTAATATTGCTTTCATACAGTATAGTGCTCTGCTGAGCTAAGTGTGAATTCACTGATGGGTGGAGCTGTAAAAGCAGCCAAATATTCAACTGAGCAGAGTGTTTGTCCACAGCAAAATGAGGTATTTTGGTAGTATACTAAACAAAATTGGCACCAAACGTAATTATAATACGTTATATTTAATGCCGGTGTTTCTAATACATTTACACAAATAAAAACAGGTCGGCTGTCTTTTTCCTCTTCATCACAGATAGAGAGATCAATTACAAGTTTTGTAAATTTTTTACATTTCTGGAGCTTGAATGTGCCACATAACTGAACATATAGTGCTGTCATGTCCGGATTTGACTATTAACTCAAGAATATACGTATACATTGTTTTTTAAAGCATCCAGACACACAGAGAATTGATAACATTTTGAAACCAATTTCACAGTATTCCAACAAAGTATACTGTCTGCCAGCACAAGTTCAGCACCTAGAACTAAATAGGTAACGCGAAAAATGTTATGTCATTATTTCAGAGAATAAATTATATTTGTACTCATTGTACCCATACAGCATCACACAAGTATTCTTTTTCTTTATTTCTTTCTGTCAATTTTACTCATCATGGCCTTGACATCAACGGGGGCAGCGGCGGCAGCAGCCTTTGCCTTTTCCTCCTCTTCTTGCTTCCAAAGAATGGTGGGATGGATACCCGGGCTTCGGTTCTGAGCGTTTTGCTCTAACTGGGCTTGACTACATAGAAGTAGAAACACAATTACTCTTCCCAAATGTAAGTGACTTTTGGGACTGGATAATGATTTGGTTTGACATGAGTTAGTTTCTGTTCAACTGTAGATACAGTAAGAGATGCGACAATTGACAAGAACCGGTCCTGCTTACAGATGGAATATTAGTGGTACAGGACGTGTTTATGTCATTCACTAACCTGAAGTTATGAGGCTGCGGGTTCAATGACTTCTTTTGGATGTCCTTGTATACTGGTGACTTGAGGTAACGGAAAAAAGTGTCCTATATGAAAGATATTGCATGAGATAGAGAACCAATTAAAAAAAGAAACTCATTTAGTTATTAGGTAAGTTCAACACAACGTCCTAACTTCATTGGAATTGGGTTTGTTAAAAAAAAATTAAAAAAAAGTCAACTACAGTATCCAGTACATTTGATTTTGGAACACGACTGCAATCATAATGACGCAAGCGATGTGGTCACCTTTTTCATGAGCAAGAAGACATGCGTCTGTGCAGCCTCCAGCACATAGCGGTGAGGATGGTCCAGGCCTTTCACAGTCAGACCCATAGTCCTGCCATCAATGTTGATCCAGCGGGGGGCTCCGGGGGCCAGAAAGGTCCTGAAACACATTGAAAATAATACAGATGAAAATGACACTGCAGTAAGGAATATGTGGGTCTTTAGGGATTTCCTTTTACAATTGGCAATTCTTCCAGGGTACACCGGCTCTCACCGATAATCCGCTGGGGCTGGGATAGGCTCCAGCTCACCCACGACCCTAATAAGGATAAGTCAGTGATGTGCAAGGGGAACGAAGGGGATGGTGTTGTTAGCCTCGGTTATCCACCTGAGTGGGTGGCATCCAGAGGCCTCCCATTCACCCAAAGAACTTTAGATGATGCCAGATGCATGTGCATCAACCAGCAAAATCTTCTAGCCCCATGTAATTTCTTTAGGGTTGTCAAACAATTTTAAGGGGGATCCATCTTGGACACAAGCCTATGTATGAGTACCGTATTGGCCCGAATATAAGACGATGTTTTTTGCATTGAAATAAGACTGAAAGAGTGGGGGTCGTCTTATATTCGGGGTCTAGACATCATACCCATTCACGACGCTAGATGGCGCCAGATATCATTGAAGCGAATGCTGAACTTGACTCCCCAGGCCAAAGTGAACTCCTGCCACGAAGAATAAAAATAAAAATAGCGGTAGCATGAAGAATAAAAATAAAAATTAGCGGTAAGAAAGAAAAGAGAAGAAAATAATAGAAGAGATAACAGAAAATGGAGAAACGTTGTGACAATCTGGAGAAAAGTGGGTCGAAGATCGGCCAGGTTGACCGGCAGCTGAGGAGAAGTTATGATGTAATTAACATTTCAAAAACCAGAAGCCATTCATTTACGAATGTGATTGTACTTTAGTTTACATATTTAAATGTTCAGATATTAAGATGTGAATGAGGCAAAATAACATGCTTTTTCTCTCAAATATATTGTTATAATCATTTGTTTCGGATGTACTGTAATTACTTTCTGTGTAAAAATTAATTTGGTGTTCAAAAAGTCTTTTTTCAAACTTGAATCTTGAAAAAGAGGGGGTCGTCTTATAATCAGGGCCGTCTTATATTCGGGCCAATACGGTAATTGTATATAATTTATCGTTCTCTGCTTTTAGATGTATAATCAACTTTCTAGTGTGATATTCCATGGACTTAATTGAGGATAAGATACCAGCCTCAGGACAGCGCGGCCGTGACGTATCCACAGCTGCTATCACAAACCAACCGTCGGCATGACTCCTCCGTTTTTCTAGGAATACCTGTATCTTTAGAAATTTGTGTATTTGGACACTTCCCAAGACAATAAAAGGGGGGAGACGAGCCAAGTGTTCCAGAGCTGTTCGTAGATTGTAATGGATTACACTCGTTCACTCTCCTTGTGCACAAGTAAAAGACAACTCTGCTTGACTCCTAGTCTCTCTTGTGTTTTAAAGTTTGTCTTAAGGGCCTAATTGCCTGATAGACCTGACAGCCTATCAGACGGCCAGGTTACAGTCACATGTTTGTTCAGCCATATCAGGTGCGCCGGACGCATGTCAAAGTAAATGTTCTCGGTATATTGCAGTCATCCAGAATGGTCCAGAGATTGCTCAAATTCCCAAACATCAGCATCGAGAATTGCATGAGCACAAAAATCAGGATACGCCAGTTTTTTTGCTCAAGCGCAGCTGCCGAGTCTATCAGGCACATGGTTTTACTTGTGCACATGGCTGAGTTGGAAACAATGCAGCATTTTTTTAAAAGTTAGATATGACAGTAATTATGTGGACTGGTGTTTTGGGAAGGTGTGGCAGCTTTAGAGCGTCTCGTTGTCGAGCATAAGTGCATGCACTGCACTGAGAGAAGGCATAAAAAGTAAGAGGGAAAAAAAGAACGACCCGACAGCCAGCATGTGGACAGGGGCTTCATGCTGGCATGGATGCTTTAGAGTGCCTCATTGTCATGCCGTGGAAAAGCCCTGTGATTACATGGTGGGATATAATCCCACCACCAGAGGATTTCAGATATATTTTCATGGCTTGAACATGTTGGGATATGTTGACATAAGAGAGATGCTGGATGTGATGGGATTTGATTGACAGCTGAGAATTGCGGTTTCAGCAAATTCCCACAGTGTTTGAGAGCGGAGAGAACATTTTTATTTTTTACAATTTTGAAACCTCATTTTACATAGTTGGGGATTTTATTTTTTAATTACTCAAATTTGGTGCGGTTGGTAACCAAATTTTTCTGTGTTACATCTTTTTTTTAAATTCACTTTAAAGGCATGTGTATGTTTTACAATATCCATTTCCGATCCGCTTTAACCTCCCAAGGGTCGCGTGGGGTACTGGAGCCTATCCCAGCCGTTTTTGGGCAGTATACAGGGGACACCCTGAACCGGTTGCCAGCCAATCGCAGGGCACACAGAGACAAACAACCATCCGTGCTCACACTCACACCTAGGGACAATTTTAGAGTGTTCAATCAGCCTGCCATGCATGTCTTTGCAATGTGGGAGGAAACCGGAGTACCCGGAGAAAACCCACGCAGGCACAGGGAGAACATGCAAACTCCACGCGGGGAGGCCAGAGCTGAACCCGGACCTCTGCACTGTGAGGTCGATGCGCTCACCACTGGTCCACAGCGCCACCCTATTTTACAATATTTTTAAACTATTTAATCCCTGGAATATTAACATTCATTCATTCATTCATCTTCCGAACCGCTTTATCCTCACTAGGGTCGCGGGGGGTGCTGGAACCTATCCCAGCTGTCTTCGGGCAGTAGGCAGGGGACACCCCAAATTGGTTGCCAGCCAATTGCAGGGCACACAGAGACGAACAACCATGCACGCCCACACTCACACCTAGGGACAATTTAGAGTGATCAATCAGCCTGCCATGCATGTTTTTGGAATGTGGGAGGAAACCGGAGTACCCGG